ATAATAATAATAATAATAATATTGATATAAATAGAAACATTTTTTCCTACTACGATCCAATTATCCTTCATTAAAATTAAATTAAAATATAAGATATATATATGAAGATAAAATATATTTAATTTAAAAGAAAAATAAATATAAGTATAAGGTATTAAATTTTTATTTTAGTAATATTTATTATATTATTAAATAAAAAAAACGGTATAATAGATTGGGATTCACGATTTAGGTACCTTGCGCTAAAGGTACGTATGGCTGAGCGCTCCACACTCTGCGCCCTCTATCTCAAAAACGGTTCGACGTATAAAAAAATTTTGTAAACAAAATTTGTATAGAATTTTATTCTCTACAACTTTTATAGTAAATGCAAATACGATAGGAGGCAGAGAAAACGAGATATTCTTAAAAAACTGATTTTTGCGACCTTTGACCTTAAATATCTAAGGCCGCTCACAAGTTGGCATATGTGACTTTTGAGACAACATTTGTAATGCTAAAATAAAGGTTTTCACAAAAATTCAGCTTATTCCGTTAGATTCCGAGGTTGATCCCTTTTTTTGACTAAGATGACTGTACTATATATAGGTATATAAGTTAAATATGATTTTTTACTAGGTAAAATATTACTAAATTTCATATTTCACTTAAAAATAACAGATAAACAACATTAGTTGCATCCAATGTCACATTGCACCACTTCACCAGACCCCAGAATTTTTATTTAAAAACCATGGTCTTAAATTAAAATAGCATGCATACGTAAACTACCATCAACTGCACTCGGAATACTGATCGCGCCCTTGCCGTTAGCGAATGGTGATGACTACGTGCCTTTTTTATCACAATTTGTGTAGCTGTCAACACATAATAGTGTCAAATGTACACCCCGACAAGTTTATGTTAAAATTAACACTATATTGACACGGTACTGTGATAAATGAATTTAAATTAACACGAATGAATTTTACCACAATTTAAAATAAACACTTAATATTTTGGACCAATTTTAGTGTATATATTAACACCAAATGATTTTACCACTCCATTTGGTAACTTTACACCGAAATGTTTTATATTGTGTATATAATGAATAATCCTTATTTTTACATCAATTTTCTTGAGAATGATTTTAGAGTTTCGGAGCATCCAGCGTCTGAATTCATATAGAAACGTTCACAAAGGCAGAGGCAGACAGGGAGTAAAAATCGCGGGCGGCGTGGTTGGGTTACGTAAACTCGCCACGTACGATGGAAACAATAATAATGCACCGACACGAGCTGCTGTATGCGCCTTTTGGCAAAACCTTGCATCTTTATGCTACATGCTTTACTGCTTGCTCCAAGAATATGATTAATCACCACTAAAAATCCCGAAGAAAGGTCACTAAAGAGCATCTGTCTGTGTGCGACTTTTTAATGTAAACTACATCAAACAGATTTAAAGTGAATCGTATACTCTTGATAAAATAAAACCTGAAAATAACAGCTGCCCAGCGGAGTGTTAAAGCATCGCAGAATTACATAAGCAGTTAATTCGAACAGATACACAATCTAAATTTGCGGTAATGGCATCCTTTCTATCTTAAAACTATCTTTGCTGTGCAGGTGCATCAATTTTTAGATTCCCATGCGCGATTATTTGGCGTTATATTAATCAGAAGCCATTCTAGACGCGCTGAAGGCAAACAAATACAAATTGCTCTGCCTCCTTTCATACTCTAGGTAATTAAAATAAATTCAACACCAAACAGATTTAAAACATTTGCCGATGGCTGTATAATACAAAAAGAAGCCACTTTGGGTGATACAGTAAAAATATAGTGGACCGAATTTCAATAATTAATTTAATTTAATAATTAATTTTGACCAAGCCCCTCACGCTTTTTGGCATAATCATTGAACAAGTTTATTAGTAGCCCAAAGTATGTTTAGTACATTTCCTTATTTTATACTACGTTAAAGCGTGTATTTGGATATTTAAAACCATTATTTATTTTTTACTTTTAAGCCTTTCAATTTTGTTAGATAAACCCGTTCATGATATCCACGTCAAGGAGGTAGAAAGGATGCAGGATTTTTAAAATTGTGGAAATTTAAAAAAAATTAAAAGATTTAATAATTCTTAAAAATTTAAAAAAATTAGAACTTGTTTTAAGGATTTTAAAAAAATTGTAAATTTTAAATTTTTTGAAAATTTTGGGAATCTTATTAGGAATTTTAAAAACTATACAAATTTTAAAAATTTTAAAAACCATTATAATTTATTTATTATATTTTATTGAAATTAGAATGCTTCATAAACCTTTTGGATTTAGTATAACGTCACTCACCTTACCGTTTTCTACTCAACAAACCCTTTCATTTGATACCTATGTCAAGAATCTTAAAAAAAGGTAATTTGCCATCAATATTGGGTGATTAAAAAATCCACTATTCTCTTATGATTTTGAAAAGCTGGTTGCAAGACAAAAGTGAGATCCTCCTTATTGAATATTGAAGCATTAGAACCCTTTGCATCCAAATTGACATGTTTATATTCCAGGGAAATTTACCGAATCCTCCCCCAATCGTTGGTGCGTTTAATCGAAAGATCTATGGACAAAAAAATGTCCACCCTGGGGGTATTCATATACATAGAAGGAGCCTTTGACAAGGCTTCCTTTCAGTCCATAGGTACAGCTCTTAGTAATCATGGTGTTCGGCCTATGCTTTGCACATGGATTGATAGATACAATTCAAAGCTCTCATTGTAGGGGATAGGGCCTCAACTGGAGGTGTGGTAATAAAATGCTGCCCTCAAGGTGGAGTACTTTCACCACTACTAAGGAATTTAGTTGTTAACAGTCTGTTAGAACCCCTCTCAAAATAGTTGAAAAGTGGTGCAAGAAAACCACTCTGTTAATTCTTCAGAAACAGAACTAATTCTCGAAAATTTTTTTTTAGACCAGCTCGGAACTTTTAAACCAAGTCAAATACTTGCGAATAATTCTAGACAATAAACTTCATCTAAAGCACAAAGTTCAGAAGGCCTCAGTGGTCTTCTGGCAGTGGAGAAGAGCTGTCGGGAAAACATGGGAACTGTCCTCTGGTTGTATACGGCAGTTATTCGACCAGTGTTGTGCTATGGATGCATTAGCATGCCTTGCCATCACGGGTGAAATACGTTCGGCTCCAACAGCAGCCATGGAAGTGATTTTAAACATTTTTGTCATACTTGTGTCTTAAATAAGAGTGCCCAGGTTGTACTAAGAAACAACTTTAACACACTCTACCGAGTATGGGTGAATGGATCCCTAAACACCATACCCGACATAACCATTTTTACAGATGGATCCAGAACTGAAATAGGCTGGAGGTGTACTGTCAAAACCCATCAATATGTCTCAACATTTGACCGGTTACACATTCGATAATTTTCCAGGGTGAAATCATAGGCATACTGAAAGCTGCTCGTAAAATAAACTTCATGTAAATGGTAAAAGAATCTCTTCAGATAGTAGGGCGTCCCTACTGGCAACAACAAAAAAAGATTCGGGGCTGGTGGCAGAATGCATTGCTACATTGAAGCTGATTTTAACAAACAATGTGATAGAACTAGCATGGGTTAAGAGCATAATGAAAATAAAGGAAATGGCCGATGAACTTGCAAGGCAGGGATCGACAAAACTGCCAATAGGTCCTGAACCTATCTTACCTATATCAAAATCTGCTTTGAATTTCAAATAAAGAAATCAACCCAAGAAAAACAAATACACAGAGGGCTTAACTTAAGTACATACCGTTCCACCAAACCTATAATTATTAATCCGTTTGATAGGTTGGCAAAATGTAGTCTGCAGCTCTCACGCAAAAATTTTTCTAATCTTGTCGGTATTATAACGGGTCATTGCAGGCTTAACAAACACCTTTATACACTGGGAAAAGAAGACAGTTCTCTCAAACGTGATGCATATTATTTATGATTGTCCTGCTTTTCTCAAGTTTAGAAAGTTTGAACGAACGATACTCCACATCTTCCGCTTCCCTCCTGAAATTCTTTCATAAGCTTGGATGGCTGTAGATGGTACAAAGGACCAAATGTGGCCCAAGTATGTCCATGTTATGTCTACCCTTCTTCAACCAAATCGACCCATCCATCATACATTCTCCTCATTGCAATTTTCCATTTTTACATTAGTCCGATGAAAAACATTTTGTTTAACACCAATAAATAAATATAAAACTAATACATATTTTATAAGGCTTCTTTTGAGATGTCCAGCAACCAATTTTTTTATATCATAAATTTTAAAAAATAGTAGATTTTTTAAATCACCCTAAGTGTACGCAAAAATTTCAGCTCAATCGGTTAGGTGAAAGCAGGATAAAATAGAGTTTCTAGATTTGTGGACATAGTTATTTGTTTGTTACATGTAAAGCTAATACTATAAAACAGGTAAAAAAAGAAGTAGGTACGTTTCTTTGAACGGATATAGAAGCAAATTAAACCTCATGTGGAAACGTAATCAGCAAAAGTCAAAAGATAAAAAGCAAAAGTGGACTAAAAAAATTCACATTTACTTAAAACGATTAATGGGCAGGATCAAAGCTTTTTTTCTGCAGAATCGATATGTACACAAAAACGTGAATCAAATAAAATCTCAGTTAAAAAGTTAAACCGCGATACGTTTCACTTTGGTTTAGTTTATAAAAACTTTATACTATAGTACCTAGGTATAGGAGTGTAAATACCGTTATTACTCCTCATGTGCAGTAAATTCATTAGGGATTCCTAGACGACCCACACTTATGGTGCGAAAAAAACCTATAAAATAAAGTCGTTAAAAATATTACTTGCGCTTGGGACGCCAACACGTTCCTTAATCGAACAGTTGTTTTGAAAGTTAAGTGAGATTTTATGATAGCAATAAGATTATTTAATGGGCAGTCAATACGAATACTCCAAGATTTTAAATAATAATATAATAATATAATAATATAGAAAAAATTGTTAAAATAATGGCCTACAGCACAACATGTCAAAATACCTTTTATTTTATCATTGCAAATATAAACAGAGTAAAAACACTAAAAAAGCATACTGTTTTAAATAAAAACACATAAAAAATTAGTATTTCCTTAAACTTCTCATTATCGCAAAAATTTCTCTTTTTCAGTTTGGCAGGGTTCCATTGGTGCATCTGAGCGCAGAAAAGTCGGGTCATTACGTAAACGACGTCGTAGAGCACGTCTTGCTTTCCTGCTCCTGCAGGCTTATATTCCTGCTGCTGTCGCCTTGGCCGCCGCCGCCGCTGGGGCGGCACCAGATTATATTCGATGTAATTCAGGTTTATTGCCCATATTCGAGCCCTGTGCAAGACGGGATTGTCTGCGGTGGCTAAGTGCCAAAATGCACTTTGGTAACATGGAAATGATAACAATGGTCAATGTGTTTTTAGTTTTTATTGTGGTGATTGCTTTCCATATTTTTTATGTTCCTTGATTTTCTTGATATCTTAAGTTTTTATTTGAAATTTTTATTATTATTATTAAACTTTTTAATACCAGAATGGGGGGTTGCATTTACCAAAACCTTTTTTATCAAAAATATAAACTTCATACACGTTTTATAAAACTTGCATGCTTTTTAGTATTTTTTGTAAAAATTGACTTATTTTTAAACAAGAATTTATATTGCCATATTTAAAATATTTAATATGCAACCTAATATACATTAATATGTTTAGTTTTAACGTCAATTTGTTATTTACTTATAGACAGAGCTGGGAGTATCTTGAAAAAAAAGATACTTGAAAGTAACTTATATTTAACTTATATTTATTTTATCTTAGATACTTTTTTAGTTTTTATTCATACTTAAAAGTAACTTAGTTACTCAAAAGTATCTTAGTTACTTAAAAGTATCTTATAAGATCTATAGATACTTTCATATAGTATCTTAGATACTTTTGGATAGTATCTTAGATACTTTTTAAAGTATCTTGTAACTAAAGATACTTTTAACTCAAAGTATCTAGTTACCAGAGGTAACTAAGTTATTTTGTTTAAAGTATCTCAGAAAAGTAACTAGATACTTTTCAGAAGTAACTTTCCCAGCACTGCTTATAGATACATTTTAATGTAATATAATTTTAAAGCTTACAACATTGTAAACTTGACTTGGCTTCTATCAAAGCAATGTTTGTTAAATTTAAAACTATACGCTAAATAAGCATCTCTAGTGGCGCCACCACGTGGCCGCTATTATCATAACAAAACTACAGATTTTAATAAGTAGGTTTAAAACGCGTATGTTTCAAACGGAAAATTTTAAAAAAATATCGAGAGAAAAAACGGTGAAACGAGAGGAAATTCGGGGTTGAGTTTTTACTTGTTTTCCAATCCGAATGAAGAAATAAATTTCATACAGTCTCTGCAAAATATTAATTGTCCTTATTAGATACAATAAATACACATAATATTGATGATTTACGTGGAAATTGGAAACATTTACATTCAGAAAAAATCATAAAACAAATAAGTATATGTATACAAAAAGCGGTAATTGGGAAATACTTCACTCAACTGTAAAATACCAAAAACAGGTTTTATATTATATATAATATTATGTGACCAGGAAATTGTAGATATTTTCTGTTTTTACTATTTCAGTGTCGGCGTTTTTTAGAGGACTTTTTTGATTTTAAGGTTATGTTTGTTTAACTATTATTTTGTGTTAAATTTCTTAAAATTGTCCAAACTTAAATATAAATTATATAAGGTAAAGTTATCATTACTTAATTCTGCACCAACAAATATACGCCCCATCCTTTGGCAAAACATGAAAATGCAACTTCGGTGTATTGAATTACATTTACAATTAAAAACACGATAATTCACCATGATTACTTGGATAAAATACACACACGAACGTATATAAAGAACAATAAATTAAAACAACACGAAACACAAGTAACGTGCGCGGTAAAGCTATGCAATTGAAACTTTGCGAACAAAATTTGTCGAGTAAGACTTCTGCCTTTCACTCTTTTGTACAAAATTACTTGTTTATTTAAAAATGATGTGCAGTTTGTATGCTTTAAATGTATTGCTAACGATTCTTGAATTCCCACAATGCTATCGAGCGCCACCAGATGGCGCGCGCGTTGCGAAAACCCGATGCTTCTTTGTCGTATTAAAATATATTTTAGTGAGTTTTTCTGCACCCAAATATGTTTAAACATATATATTTATTTGTACTAAAACCGTTTCACTATTGGAATGGATTTGTGTTTTCAAAGGTGTGACGTCACGTGGTGTATTCGGGAATATTCGGCTATTTCCGATTCGTTAGCGGCAAATTTCCTGGGTCTCCTTACCAAATACAATATTAACTAAAATAATATTTAAACTTTTGAATTCCATTATTACTAATACTATATTTATTACGATCCTATTAGGGTTTAAATTTAAAATTTAGAGAATAATTGGGTAGAAATATTTTAGGGACTTTTTGGAGTCATTCCTACATTATAATTATTAATTATTAAAATTAAAATATTTGGTTGACCTAATCATATTTTTAGTTAAGAAAAGTTATTTTCACAATTCAAATGCGCCATGTTCCTGATTTTTACAATTATTATACATACCACATATAAAAAACAATGTCAAGTATCAAGTAAAGAGTGTAAAGAGTAGCTTGTCGGGGGGAGGTTGAGGTTGAGGGCATTTTTACGACAGTGGCGTCTAGGAGTCGGTCTCTTGGAACCCATTCCGTGCCGAGAGAGAGCCTGAAGAATACATGAAGACGCTTTAAAGCTGACCCCGTTGAAATATTGTGCATTTAGAGGCGACGTTACTGCACAGTGGTGGCTCGTAACGCTCGCCTGCTTTTTTTTCGTTCGCTCTGTTCGCTGTGCTATAGCGTCGTTTTTTGCCTCTCTTCCTGCTGTTACTGCCGGTGCAGGAGCCGGATTTTATGCTACTGCAGGACGGGAATTGCCCCAGATAATGGCCGTCGTTTTTATACGGTTTTGCGTTATTATATTCAGTTAATATCCCCGCGCTACAGCTGCACCATACAGGGCGATGAACTTTGATATAGCTAGGACGAATTAGTCTAGTATAATAAAAATATCTACAGACAACACTTTTACCTACTTGTCAAACAATAAAAATTTTAAATTTCAAACCCAAAACGGAACATAATTATCATATTTTATTTAGCTGTGTATATTAAGGTGTCCGTTATTTACCAAATTGGCTTTCTTTACTTGAGTATTTTCTAAATTATTTGTTTACAGTGTAAAACCAATTTTGAAAAAAAAACTGCCGACGTCGTTTAACGTTAGGTGCCCTTCTAAAATGACATTTTAATATCATAGGAAAAAATGCAAAACTCGCTAATAAATAGACATACAACCATATACTTAAAATTTATTTAGTTTTTGGTATCTTGATTAAAAAGGTATAAAAACTATGTTCATTACACGTCCAGATAAATGTTGATAGAATTCATATTTAGGTATTGAAAGCCCCCTTTTTCAAAAAAAGTTGTCGATACAAGATACTGCTGATGTTTGGACACGAACTAGTCCAAAGGACGGACAATGAAAGGAGAGTTATACAAAACCAAAAAAAAATTAAAAAAAGTCTTGCGATAGCTGGAGATAAACAACGTCAAATAAAAATCCCAATTAATCAGTCTGCCGGGAGCGGCAGCATTAACGCCGCTGTTGCATTAAAAATGAAAAACCGGCAGAGGAGAAGCAAGCAGCGTTGCCAGATTTAACAAAGATGCCCCAACAACAAACGAGAGTTAAATAATCGCCTAAGAATTATATACGTATTGATTTCAACAAGAGGTAAATCCCAATCTCTCGGTGGCCAATTTGTGTCTCCAAACGCGATAACATAATTTTTGTGGTGTGGTATCAAAGTATAAACTCAACAAGTGAAGAAAGAAATCGAACGTTCTTTGTGTTCCAAAACGTCTTCCTTGAATAAGTACACATCTGCAATAGAGTGACAACATTTTTTATGGTTTATGTCAGCATTTGCACTAAATTAGGCCTCTTTGGTCTGGCAACACTGAAAGCCAGCAGCATCAACGGAGAACTGCAAAAAACTAGGAACGCCTGGGACTTGCTCTCAGAGCAGTGAAACGGCCAGCTTTTTGCTGCTACGAACGCTGGATGGAACGGACTCACATTACCAACTCTTAATGGAACGTTTTTTTCCTCTTCTCTCACGTGCCGATAAATCATTTCTTCAGGAGATATGTGCAAAAATAATCCTATTTCTCTATGGGCATGATGGAATAATGAATTATCAATTTTTTTATTTATCAAGATTTTGTCGTTGGTCTTCTGGTCTTCAAGTAAATAAAATCATTAAATAATTTGTGTTCTGTAACAAAACTTTTATTATCAAAAATCTAGATGACCACTTTTCATACAAGAATACTTTCCCTACTATCTTTTTCTACAAAAAATCCAACAATACCTAATCTAAAAACCACCTTTAAAACCCTAATAAAACTCACGAAAGGTCGTTTGATTCGTTTTTATTTATGACAAGGCGAGATGACCATATTAACGTTCAGTTTTAATGACCGGAGGATCGTTCCATTTAAGTGTAAAAGTAAAAATAAACACATAAACGAATAATAATTTTAGTGGTCATTTATGTCGCCACTATAATTTTGAATCCAATTCCCGCTCTGATCGTTAAACTTCAGATGAAGGAAAGCAACATTATTGTTTCCAAGCAAGTATGAAAATATGAAATCTTTATTGAGATGGGTATACGAGGGTTTTCAAATATTTTTCATGAACACGCCTTTTGCTACAAATTTTAAAGGTTTTATTTTGAACTTTTGTCACCGTGCTTTTAATTCAAGCCTGCCTTTGGCACTTACTCATCTTGAAAGAACCTTACCTGCTTTTGCAATCGGGTTCATATGCATAAATACAAAATTCTTTACATGTGTAGATGTTATTCACAGTTTTTGGAGAAACGCAATGCTATTTTTTCAGCTTTTCTCCGCACCAATCGACAGAAGCTTTTTTTTTCGAGCTCACCATCGGCACACTACAGTTATAATTGAATTTTCAATTATGTTTTCATAAAAACGGACATTTTCTGTTAATTTGGCTTAATTTTAAAAATAACACTATCAACAATTAACTACACAAAAAGTACGAATATTTCATAGAGGGAATTGATAGAACCTAAATCTTACAAATTACGTGTTCTTTTCTCACCACTAGCGGCGCTGATTTCCATTTTTTAGTGCGGTACTGTTTCGGTATCAACCAAACAACAACCAGAGCATTACCTCCCTCTTATTTTGGGTAATCATCAGCATTTTCATCGTCAGTCGACGTCGTCAAACTGTCGTTTGTTTAGGTATGTATATCAGAGTATGATTATATTTTTAATATGTTTAAAGTATATCGAGTAAAGCTAAATCATTGCAGAGAATGTCGTTCAATAAATGAAGTTCATATCGACGTCGACATGGTTTGTAAGGTATACATGGAGTTCGGACTCTATGGCTCTATGCTTTAAAGTTTTAAGTTTTGACGTTTCCCTTTCTACCTACAAATATGTTTATGGTTTATATTTTGCACATTTTTAAGTTCTGATTACGCTTTCCCTTTTTTTACTTAAATATCAACAATGAATATTATAATTAAGAAACATCACATTAACAATTTGCATTGTATTATTGTGTCTAGGGATTGTGCTTCATTGCCATATCAAAATAAGGTTTCCTGAAGATTGATAATCCAATATTTTTTACACTTTTATATAGGTACATAGCAGCACTATGTAGTGTTGCCCATTATTGAAATAATAATATTAACATTTTAAAAGAATTTTTCTGAGTAGATTTATAGAACATAGTTTTGGATTTGTGTGGGATAGGCTTTGGGCAGATGAATTTAGCTCACCTCCATACTCGGGTATTTATGTCCGTTTGCTTTTAGTCCGTTTTATCATTTCGTCCCTTTCACCCGCACTTTGCATAGGGTAACCTGAAGGTCGGAATTACCGAGTTGTTTGTTTGGGTTTTCGGAAAGGGTGGTCTCCCCCTCTCTCTATCCATCCAACCCCTTCAGGGATATTTAGGCGATTATTCAATCAGCCGCCGCTGTCATTTCGAAAGTTACGAAACGAAACAGGGCCATTGTGTTATTGGCTCGAGTGTTGCAGATTATGCGTGAATTAATTAGCATATTTTTTACACGGTTTTAATGGACTGGGGTTTATCAATAACACATAAATCTTTTGTACCTTTTAATCCCCTTAAATACTCTTTTTATTCTATCATTAGTTTCGTCATATGTTTAGGATTTTACCAGCTGATAGTTTATTAAAAAAGAGCATATTTTATTTGACAAAATACCTTTATTTTTTTAATAAATTATCGGTTGGGGTAAAATCCTGACAGTATAAACTGGACCACGCTGTGTATTACATCACCAAATAACAACAATCTTAATTCTTTCTATTTTTCTTTACCAACTAAGGCTGTACGCGTTTATCCTGGCAAAGTTGTTTCTAGTGTATCCGTACCCAGGGTGGATATAAACCTTTTGCTGGGAAATCAGCGGATTTATTACTTCGTGCGGACGGTGAACGAGGGAGTAAGGGGATGGACGGGGGTGGTTTTGCGGCCGCCATAAAGGGAGCGAATATATGAAAACTTGATGGCCATCGCCGCAGCGATGACGTCCAGAGTTTTCCCGTGGGGTGGAAGGAAATATGAGGAGCGAGCCGACACGAACGAATGTTCCTTCGCTATGGAGTTGAGTTCTTAAGGAGCTCGTTTCTCTGCTGCCTCAGACTCCCCCTTGCTGCTTGGTCATTAGGTTTTTGAGAGGTGGGTGCAGGGGTGGACTAAACAGAGAAATTTTGGGATGTAACTCTACTTTTATCCAAACCGTCGACAATCAACTAACCTTTTTCTGATTTAAAGGTTTTTGGAAATCAGAAAATAAATTTATGGAAAAGCCGGAGAAAATATTCTACAGAATGATAAACATTTTGGTTGTGAATTTTAAATCATTTTTTATCAACATTTTCAGATTCAATGACTTCTTTGTTCTAAGATATCCATCCAAAAATACATTCCACAGAAAAACTAATGATCCCCATCACCCACTATGTGTCTACTTTAGGAGAGGAAAAGAGAAAACGCGTTCCCTTCCGCAGAACTAATGCTCTGGAAGGACAAGGCCCACATCAAATTGATTAGTGGGGTGTCGGGCGCAGATAAGGGTGCGTTTACGGCCTCTGTCTCACAAAAAGGCAAGTCCATAAACCTTTTAAAGTAAGATTTTAGGAGGTGCGTTTTCTTAACTAGTTTTTATGTAAATAATTTTCTATAAATAAAGGTTCTAAGGGTTCAAAATAATCCCCTATACTGTTATTTCGATTGTAAGGTAACATTTGATTACCACATTAATTTTATTGTAAATAAGTCTTTAAAAATGTTGGGATTTTTAAAACGTACTCTTAAAGATTTTAATAATGTCCAATGTTTAAAAAATGTATATATGTCATTCGTCCGTAGTATTTTAGAGTACTGTTGTGTTGTTTGGTCACCTTTTTATGTTAATTATAGTATAAAACTCGAAAGAGTTCAAAATAAATTTTTACGATTTTGTGCTTACAAACTAAATATTGAATGTACTTATTCTTTGGATTTGGTTAGAAGTATTATAAATTTAGATTTACTAAGTAAAAGGAGAAAAAATTTTGGTATTGTATTTCTTTATAAACTACTAAACAATTGTATAAATTGCCCAGACCTTTTGATGCAGATAAATTTTCATGTGCCAATAAGAAATACCAGGCAAGCAAATTTATTTTACATTAAAAATCATAAGACCCGATATGGCCAATATATGCCAATCTGTAGAATTTGCTCTGATGTTAATAAATTAGATTTAGATTTTTTTAATTGTTCTCTTGTGGTGTTTAAAAACAAGATAAATAATTTGTAACTTATTGTAAAAATTGTAAATGGTATATCCGTCAATAAAGCTATTATTATTATTATTATTTTAAGTTCGCTTAATTCTTCAATATTTATTCGGCGATCGCCGATGGAAAACCAATTAAATAATTAAGTGTCGACTCTCTACACACACAGTGAAGTACTGCAGTGGCAGTTGGGAAGTTGTTATTCCCAGGGCTCGTGTAGCGAGCTGCCGGTGGCCAATAAAAAATGAAGAAACAATTAATTGGAAAAGGGTGTCCTTCCTCCCTCCCCTTCCCTCACGAACCTCTCTTGGAGTAGGGACTGATTAAGGGGAGGATGCACACACTCTACTACGGTCGCCTAGGCGCCTCACTGAGTCACAGAAATCGAAACGCACTATGTGGAAATAATTTTTTAGTTAGTTATTTAAAATAATATGATATATATATTATTAATATTGCGTAGGCACATGGTAATTTTGTGATACATAATCTCGTATGAATTTAAATTTTAACAGTTATGTATTTCAGCTAAAAATTTTGGAGCTGTTTCCACTTCATTAAATAAAACAATTTTATTTTTTCCTATATGATGTTAAAAGGTGTTGAAAATAGTTTAATAAAAAGATATATATAAACAAATTTGATGATTTTAATATTCAAAAAAGATTTTTGTCCCATAGTGATGGGTATTACGGTCGGTCGGCTCTGCCACCCCATCGGAGCTTTTCCGTTTCGTCCGCTCTGTCCTAAACACACTTGCTTGGTTAGAGACCGGACCCGATCCCCTTTAGCAGGGTTGGGTTGGGGGTGGTCGACGGTCGGGGGCGGCAGACAAGGGAACGGGAGACGGCTCCAACGCGGACTCTGCAGAGATGGATTTCTTTTTATTTCGGACAAAATGCGTATTTAGCCCGAGTCAGATACAAAGCCTGATTAATCCGAGCTCGAACGAAAATACGAGCCAGGAAAATATAGGATTAAAAGGTAACAGATAAATGAAGAATATATGGTAAAATAGGACTTTTTTATGCTGTCTCTGTAATCCTTTACATTTGTTTATAATAGTATATTCTGTAACAAGTTTGGAATTCAGCATATTCCGCTCGAGTGAAGAGTTTGTCACACGAGCCGAAGGCGAGTTTGACGGTTTCACGAGAGCGGAATATGCAATTCCAAACGTGTTTCAGACTATACTTTTTCTACATTTCCAAAAAATACCATAAAAAAATAATTTAATTGGAAGAAAGTGAGGTTGGATCGGTCCAAAATTTGTTAGATATTAAGAACAGAGATGTCGCCACGAGTGTTTATTCTGTCATCAGATGATAGAATATTTTATTCTGTAACACTTTACGGAATATATGTCATTCCATAGATAAAAGTGATATTAGAAGGGTCAAATTCCGTAATAGGAGTAGAAAAAATAATTTCCAGTATCTCAGCTATCAAATAATACCCATATCAAAATGTACTATTTCCAGTATAAATACTAGGGTGTTATAACAATGCTATGGAAAAATGTATTTTTATGCAACATAAAAATCCCTCAAAAGATTTTGTCAAAATAAAAATTCAGCAAAAATCTTGAGCAAGTTAATGCTTTAAAAGGATCAATAGTCATTAATATAAAAAATGTACATATATTGCAGATTTCAAGAGTAAATATTTAAGTTATAAAGGAACCTCTTAAATTAAGAGTTGAAATTTTTATTTCTGCATATTTAAAGGAATTTGTATGTCACATCGAAAAACACCATAGACATATAAAAGAGTGGACAAGAAACGAATATTGTTGTTTATTGTGCAAAATGTAAACCAAAATGTAATTGTCAACTCGACAAGTTTGTTTTGTGTTTCAATATAAAAATGCAATTCTGCATTTGATTTAAAAGTAATATATGTTATATTAAAAAAACCTTCCACAGGTAAAAATGATTATTATTAATAATATCTCAAAAGTCGCTTATAAATTTCGTTATAATAAACAACCAAGTGTTCTTTTATACAGAATTATTTTCTTTATTTACAGTATTAAATTTCCTGATGCGCTACTGGTTTAAAGTTATTGGTTTTGAGGTTAATTCAGGGACGCTATGTTTTGGTTCATAATTAGCACATTTCCAGCGGTCTAATTACGCGTCCAATCTCTTAACTTGTCTAAGAAAAAACGATATGGCTTTGTTTTGTAGCACAAAAAATATGGTATCATATACAACTGCATAAAAATTGCTTTCTTTGTAAAATTTTACAGACCATTTATAGATAATATTATATAGGATATATAATTCAAATTAAATATATTTTAAATTCATAATATTGTTAGCACCCCCTATCGATTATGTGTCCAATCTAATCCCAAAACCTAAAGTATGACTAATCTCGTGAACAGACAGACAATCACGCAGCGTGTCCTTTCAATCGTTTATCGGCAAGTTTGGGGGGATCGACCCCCCCTTCAAATCCTTCACCCACCCCCCGAAAGCAGCCGTGGGGTCTTTGTGACCCATCCTTCGTGTATCCCGGAGTAGAAACTGCCTGTGTTTATGAAACTTTTGGGTTTTCGGTAAAAGGAGGGTTTCGAAGGACGAAGGATAAGGGTCAAAGGGGTGCCAACCGTTAGGATAGGACGAGATAGCACATGGCGCACAGTAGATTCACCGGAAAAAATGCATTAGTGTCTTTACAAAAAATAACAAACTTCGCAGTTAAAACCTATTTGTTTTTAGATTAAAAGACTATGAATTGCATTGGCAAAGAATATGGCTACTCGTCTACCCGTCTACACAATGAGGTTAAAATCCAGATGGTAAATTATGTTCTTAATATTAAAATCCACTAAACAAATGGTTTGTTCTGTGTTAAATATTTAATAAAAGAAAATTAATATTGGCGTAGTCAGCAGTTTAACCGATTGGTTTCGTCAGATCTCGGTAAATGATCATGTTATTCAGTAGATTTTAATATTTAGGAAAGTATTTATCATCTTGATTTTAACCTCATAGCTTTGTTAGATACGTGTACCAGGCACCGACAGACAGACAGACTGTTTCTGTCTTTTGGACCTCATTAGTGTCAGGTGGCCATGTGGTGTGGGACACGTCTCAAACAAAGTGTTTTCTGCTACTTATGGACACAACGGTGTCGAATAAAACACAGTACCTACCTGGGTTAAAATCCAAAATTGTTTTTGTTTACCGTAATAGGCCATCTTAGTTATCATTTATGACCATGAAATTAGTGGCTGGTTGCAGTTTTGATTTTTATTTCAAAGCATGCGAAGAGTGCACTTTTTCATTGCAATAAAACTTTTTATTTGAATTATTAAATTTTACTCAGTATATTTAAGTACCCGATTGTATACCATACTTTTTTATCTATCCCTATATTTGTCCAAAAACTCCATTCAATAAATTGAGATTTTTGTCACATAAAACTGTCAGATTAGTACCTAGAATGCATGCATTTTAAGTAAAAACTGCAATTAGAACCCTGTGATTCTACATCCGAAAAAACTAATGCGTCATATTTATAAGATTAATGATTAATTGTTTTAAAAAAGTAAGTCTCCTATAAAACCGCCCTTTTTTCGACTGTGTATCTGGCAGAGCGAAGAGGATATAAATGATACTCAGGCTCTGACAGCAAAGTTTGAAACCGGTCATTTCGCCTTGTGAAGGCGGCATGGGGAGCCTCCCCCTCTGCTACGATGGGGGGGCATGGATAAGGGGCACCACTTTATCTACCGGCACAAAATGGGAAAAAGTTCTTGGAGGTGTATTTTTTAAATCTACATGTACTTACCTCTACTAATAAACGCCACACAAAACACTGTTACCTTACGTCTAGTAATTTAACAAAATACAACAAAAAAAATCGACAAAACATAAAAAACATTAAATTTATTAGTATCAAAAACAGAACATTCAACTAAACTAAAAAATAAATTAAATAAATAAATAATAGTACGTAAATCCCAAATATGAACAACACCTAATCCTTCTACATATTGGTTAGTAATAGTAGTGAGAAATCAAATCATGCATTAAGTGCTCTATAACTAAACTCACATGTCTATTTTCTAACTTCATGGCGTCCTCCTCATTACAGCCAAGACTTCTCATGTATTTTAAATAAGTTGTTGTGATAGGCAGTGAAAAATCGATGTTTGCATTCATCATCATCCTGTTTTTGTTGTCGTCACGCTCAATGGTGTCAACTGGAGACCACAACTTCGCTTTTGGAGGATCAGGCGATGTCAAATTACACACATCCAGTGGATTACTGGACCTTTTTATAGGCTCGGGAGGAGCTTCATCTTTTATAATCACAGGACTTGATGGTGCCACGTTCACCACCTCTTGGTCGCTGTTGAACAAGTCTGGAGTTACAGCTGGCTGTTGCAAGTGGATAGCTGGCGGTAATGTGGGGCTAGGACTTGGTGTTGGTAACACTGATATTGGCGATGGTGACCTCGGGTGTTTTTGACATTCTGTGCATCCCAAAAGAAATCTTGTTACTGCTTCGCGTGGTAGGAAGGCGTATGTTTCTGTTATCTAAAATAAAAGAAAACTTTAAGTTTCTGAAAATGTTGAAGTTTGCGACTTAACTTTCAATAGAAAATGATCTCTATAAAAAGCAATAAACCAATCAGAGCATTCTCCCTGGAGAAAACATTACATAATTTAGATTATCTACCAAAAATTGAGTTAACCACCCTTTTAACTTAATTTAAATCTCAGGAACGTGTTCAATTAAATTTTAATAAACGCGTTGTGCTTGTGGAATCATGATGTTTAAAAAAGCAATTTATAAATTGGCCGTATTGAATGAGGGGAGAGACACACATACAGACACACGTCTCCATCCCTTTTAGACCGTAAATCTGCGTTATGGAGCAGGGCGATGACAAATTATATTGTTCGAAGCATTATTAAATCGTAATTGAATGGTTTTTATTTTTAATTGGGCCTTGTTTCGCCATTTAGGTACTCGATTGATGGTATTTATTGCTTTGATCTTTCTCGCCGCTGTTTGTGCATGATGAAAAAGTATTAATACGATTTAATTTGCCTTCTAAGTAGTGATACTTTTGTTTACAAAGGAATGTTAAGTATTTATAGTTGCTTTAAATTATAAACAGTCACATTGAGTTTGTCAGCATGCAGAGTACGTCGAGTAAAAAGTTTTAAACAAGAAAATTGAAAACGACGTTGGTATAAGTTAGCAAATAGACGTATATTTTTCAGGAAAAGAGGAAGGAAGCGTCGCGACGTAAAACTTTGCAGGAATATACATGTGCACATGTCCCGACGGCGACGCGAATACACATAATATCTGCAGTAGCAGGAGATTTGCATGACATGTAAAAACGGGTTTATTGAAAATGGTGTCACAAATATGAGTTGAACGTTGTAAGATAACTTCACTTCGCCCCTTATGCATGTCGCATGATAAAATATTCCTGCTGCTACATTGTTTTTGTACGACGAGAAAAGGAGATATACAAAGTATATAAAACAAAAATACAATCATGATCTTACCACGGTTGCATATATTATGGATCTTAAATGAAATAGTATTTTTTCATAAAAAAAAGTCTTGTAAATATAAGCGAATTTTCATATCATCACACTGTAGTTGAACCAAATAAATTTATTGCCCGAATCAACAGGTATCCCTTACGTTATCTGAATACTTAAGGAGTCGCAAGTTTATTTCAGTAAAAATAAATAAACAAGTTAAAATTAGATAAAGCGATTACAAATAAACATTGAAACTGATATTAATAAACGTAAATGCATAAATAAGCTGTAATATTGTTAATACATTATGTATTAAAATTTATTTAAATAACCATTTTGATAAGTTTCGTATAATTTAACGATTAACTTTTTTAATATCTACAAAAATTATGGATATAAATACGTAATAAATTAAATGTATTATTTCATATTATTGTTAAAATATGGACCTAAAACAGACCTGTTTGTTATTTCTTTATTTTTTAAGTTTCCACCATAATGTAAAAGGTACGTTTGTATTTAATTTTAATTGGAGTATTATAGTTAGGACTTTTTAGGACAAGATTCTCTTAATTTAACAGACATTGGTAACAAAAAGATTTTTTTGGAATACATCGTTTCAGTAAGTTAAGAATTTTTGATTTAAAAACATATAAATATCATATTGTTTAAGGCAAACTGGTATGAAGCATACAGAGCTTGTAAAGTTCTAGGTTTAGATTTATTTTCTATAGAAACTATAGAAATTCACGACGCCATATCTGCAGCTTTGGTTCAAAAAGGTAACTTTATTTATTCTATTAGTGTACTTAAAATATACGTCTTTATTTTTAGGATTTAACATTACGAATCCAATATGGACTTCGGGAACTTGTCTGGGTACAGGAGATGACAGAGATTTCTATTGGATGTCGACTGGAGAACCTATAGCTACGGATATTTGGGGTTTAAACCAATTCGACAAACCGGAACCAAATAACCGATTCGGAAATGAAGACTGCGTACAGATGAGATTTCCTCAAGGTTGGTACCTCAACGACGAACAATGTCAGGAGGAGTTTTATTTTCTTTGTGAGAAGTTGCCGTGTAACAGCGGAAAGCCAGCCTCTACCATTGATATAATAAAAAATAATATTAATTGATGATGAATGTAAAATATAAACTTACCGTGCGATAGGTCCTTTTTTGTCCTGCATGTTTCCCCGGTCGTCCTTCGAGTTCCACGTGAACATTGTAGATTATGTCGAAGAAGTTTTCTACTACAGCGACTTTTCGGTAGACTGGTTCGCCAGTTGAGTTCTGTAAAGAAAAGACATTGTTATCAAACTTGTTTTTCTAAAATTACATCTTGAAGTTATATCCTGATTTAAAGTATATAGTACAATCTAATTAACTAATCTTTTCCACATAATAAACTTCTTAAATTTGCTTGAAAAACCCGGTTTCTGTCTTAAGCTGTATGTTCGAGTAAGTAGGTAGGCTGGTGCGCTATCTAGAGAGAAAGAATGCGCTCTAAACAGCGCCGTAGCTACAATGGTTCCGTGGGTTCGGTGGAACCAGGCCCGCGAGCTCAAGGGGCCCGCGGCCAGCGGTTGGAATAACAAAATTTGTTTTTTCAAATATTTGGATTAATTTTTTTAAATATATTTCAACATTTATAAGGCATTTATTTATAATCATGGCTTAAGGCTTAGTTAATAGTAAAAGACCAGCAATAATAATAATAATAATGTAAAAGCGAGTCAAAATTAAAACTTAAAAAACTATCAACAACCTGTTCGTCTTTACGCAATGATGCAATAAAAGCCCTACGTTTTAGGTATCTTGATGTTCTTAAGGCCTTCTCAAAAATTATTTTAACATATAATAATAAGGCTGAAATAGAAAACTCGAAAGGATTTAAAAGTACATTGGAGGACTTTAAAACAGTGTTTTTGATTATTTTACAATCTAAAATTTTAAATCGCATAGACACAGTATCAAAACTCTTACAAAATCAGCAGAAATATTTCCAAAAATCTAGTAAACTTTTGAAAAATGTGTTAAATGACATAAGCACACTTCGGAATGAATTTTTAGATATAAAAAGAGGACAATATTACAGCAAGTAAATACTCCATTCCAGAATTTTGCCAAAAACGTATTCACAAAGCTTTTTTTGATGAAGTTGCAAATGACGTTGTTTTTAAACTGCTGAAGATACTTTTAGAGTTGAAGTTTTTTAAGACCCTAGTTATTATTATCAGACAGTTACAAAGTAAAAAAAAATAGTTTACATCAAATAGCCACTAACTTCAGTATTTTGGATACAGATGTTCTGTTAAATTCTACTGATACAGAAGTATACCAAATGGCGGAAAACATTCTTGAAATATATGAAGATGATATTTTAGACTTTCCTATCAATTAATAGCTTTGTTTTTCTGACGAACTAAAAAATATTAAGTCAGTAAAGAATTTGCTAAAATTTATTATGGTTGACAATTTCTCATCCAGTAGCAGCTTTACCGAAATAATAACACTATGTTTTCTATACCTTACAATTCCTGTGACAGTTGCATCGGCAGAACGATCGTTCCTAAAAAAAGTTAATAAAAACTTATTTAAGGAACTCCATGAGTCAATATCGATTATCGTCTTTGCCAATGATCTTCATTAAAAATACAGTTGCCCGCTCCATAGATTTACAAGGAATTATTACAAAATTTTCCGCTGCTAAATCTAGGAAAGTAGCTTTTTATTAATTATTAATGGACACACCTTTATTTTTTATGCCCTTATATTTTGTTTATAATATATTATTATAAATTTTTTATTAGTTTTAGTTTATTTTTCCTGTGTATTTTATATAATAAAATAGACAATATATTATATAGTCTTTTATTTTTATATTATATATTATTTTTATATAGTCTATAGTATATAGTCTTTTATTTTTTCTTCACTATCAAAGCGGTAGATTTAAGGAGTTATAAAGGTTGTTGTGTTTCTCCCAAATATAACATAAAAAATATTAATTAGTACTAAATAAAAAAACACCTAGAGGCCCGTGGGTATAGCCTGGAACCCGGGCCCGTTGGGTTGTTGCTACGGCGCTGGCTCTAAAGAATCCATTCGGCTAAATATAACTTGGGTAATGAATAGAACATTCAGCTGAGCTTCCAGTCCGACCTAATCATCTTTACGTGGCGAGAACAAAGTGCCATACAGCCGATATAAAGCCGCACCACTCCTAAGGTAATAATACGAGTTAACCTCAAGATATTTAGTGTACGGGGAATCGATTTTCACGGAAAAAACTGAACCTTTTTTCGTGAAGAGTGCTTGAAAGGGAAGGTCGAGCAAAAAAGGAGATGAAAAAAAAAAGGTCTTACACGGATCGTTGATGACGGCGCGGTATCGACAGGGACGAAGGATAATTAGAATTAAGCACGAGGATGGGTCTTAAGGCCTTTTATTATTCATACCACTGGGGTCGGCAAGCTTAATATGGGTCGATTTTAAAGGATGTCATATTAGATTGTAGCTATGTAATGAGTTGTATCTACGTTTTTAACCCTTTAACAAAACATCACTTGAAACTATTGATAATTATAATTATTAGTAATATTTTATTTTACAAACAAAATCATGTTAAACATGTTCACCGTCGAAAAAGTAAATAGATAGATACACTCTACTTCCAATACCTCCATTCGTTCCAGAACCCCTTACACCTTGTTAATTCACCCACATTTAACGCACCCTGGCTCCGCTGCCGCTCCACCCGCCCCCATTCCACCCGTCGCCGCCCCCGCTTCGAAACTTCCCGCGTAGCACTCGTTTCCTTTGCAGAGGAGCGCGTTTATCCTCCCGGCCCCTGAGGGACGGTTTGGCAATGGAGGTGGGAGGTAGACAGACCGTTTCTGACAAAGGAGAGAATCCGCACCGACGATGTTTCTATGGTTTTAACCCGAACGACGGGAGCGGCGACGGGGCGGGCAGATGAAAATATTTACACGCAAAAAAGTGCTCGTCTCCGAGTGAAGCCTACACTCGCCTTCCTATGGCCGCCGCCGCCCGGCGGTGGATACGTTCTCGTAGAAGAATGTGTGGGTTATGCAAAAGTCTTTTAGGTAAATTAGCATAAAGTTGTGTTTTTTTTGTTGAAAAAAGTAAATATTTTAAAAAAATATGCAAGAAAAAAATAGTACTTTACACCGAGCTCAGTGTCCGCTAGCTGAGGCTGCGGATCTGAGCGCGGTAATTAATATGCTTTATCCCTCATATTGTATATATTGTTAAGATTGGGACTCCACCACAAAATAAGAAAATTTTATTGATTTATTTCGTGACAACACTATTTTTTTTTCAAGCGTTATTATGTACATGAGTTTATTCTACAGTGACTTATTGTTAAACTTTATTGTTGTCAACATTCGATAAAGAAATACCTTGTTATGGCCTAGGCCGATAAAAAATTTTATGAGGCAAGTAATTAGTTCGATTTTTTCTCGCTAGGGGTATTGTTTTGACAAATTAATCCCTTTCTAAGAAATTAACGTACTAAACTTGGTTAATTTATTTATAATAAGCACTAATTTGTTTGTTTTACTGTTAATGTTTAATATTTTTCATTAAATTATTGTAAAATTAAATATGAATATTAAAACAAAAAGTGAGGTTAGGCAACCAAGAAAACGCACGATTCTTTTTCTACGATTTAAATTATCTTTTTTAATTTGCTTTAAGTTTTTAATGAAATTAAATGTTAAACACAGCTTAAACATTCCAAACTACCTATTTTTTAAATAAAAATCCAAACAAATTAAAATTAGATACCTACCTATTTATTAAACAATTAATTGAATTCAATGTAATGTAAAAATCTATTTCTACTTAAATCATGTTGCTTGGTATTGTCAAACTATTACTGCTTCTAAAAGCAATAATAATTCTTGTACATTTAATGTAATCTTTAGCTAATAAATAAATGAGATTCTAAAAAAGTGAGGTTAGGCCGCTTTGATGTTGAATTAAATTGACCTATGCTTTGAAGATAAAATTTTGTATGCCATTCGGCCAAGAAGTGCCTTTTTGTGCTTCGCTCAAACCTTGAGCTTAGCACAAAAAGCCTTACTTCTTAACCTAATGACATAAATAACTATTTCATTATTGTACAGCGGCGTATAATAAATTAACTTTTGAATTGCGTACAACTATAAAGTCCTTCTATGTATCATTATTAATTTGTAAAAATATTGGATATATGTAATCCGAAGTAGGCAGCAGCCAGCGCAGACAGCAAAGCGGCTTAATTAGCAAATTTAAAATCGGCGCATTTCGATTTCTAGCGTTCTCTAATTGGTTGTGTACGACAAACAATTAGGCAAATGCAAAAGGCACACCGAAACGAAATTAATTAAGACAAAGGCAAATGGAAGAGAGGACTGCTGTGTATTGCTCTCTTCTCTCCGCATTACTTTACCCTGCTGCCGCCTCTCTCCTGCTCCTGCGAACGCACTCGACAATTTCGCTAAGTAGGCCCTGAACTTTATTAGTCCCCTCATTTGGCAGCGGAACATCGCAGCAGCCTGCTAGTGGCGGCACACCTTTATACTTTTCTTTTGCCGACTAAGGCGCACAGTGAAAAGAAATACTGATTTAAATGAAAACAATGTAAGAATGGTATAAACTAACCATACAATAAAAAATCATAAAAACACAGTTTTTATTGGATTATTAAATTATTCAAGTATTATTAAAGTATTAAAAATTATGTTTGTAGTGATTTTCTACAAACATAATTTTTCATACTTTAATAATACTTGAATAATTTAATAATACAAAAAAAACTTTGTTTTTATGATTTTATATTTTTATAATTATATTCAAAAATTATAAAACAAAAACGCAACAACAACTAACAAATTTAAAATTTTTTTTTTTGCAAACGTCATTATAAAATCGTCTTCTATCCTTTTAAATAAATATAAAGTTAAAACATTAAAATAATAAAAATAAAATTTAATTTTAACTAAAACTAATCATTTTTTTTTATTTTATCAGAGCTTTTTATTGGACTGTAAAATAATATAAAATGTAAAAAAATGTAAACATCTAAAATTTCTTTATTTATTTATAAGTTCATAACGACGAAATTTTAAAAATGTTTTTGATTGAGTTATAATAAATCGAAAAAATATATAAACCACTCGAAATATAATAATAATAATTGATATAAACTAGGGTTGTGTCTGGTCAATTGACCGCGGACAGATGTCAAATGTGTAACAAATAAAATTGGCTTTAAATTCTTC